GCTGTCGTCGCCTGTCAGTGTCGCATATTGTCCAGCCGCAGCCTTCACCAAGGAGCGCTTGTTGACCGGCCGGCCCCCTAAGATGCTGCTAAGGAACGGCCGGTCCTTAAAGCACGCAGGAGGCAGTGGGGTCAGGGCATCTCAAATCAAACTCCACACTGCGGCACACATGCAAACCGTGCTGCTGCAAACCTTTTTCCTCTTTGGCTGCAGGGGTGCAGGGGTGGCAAAGTAGAGGAAATTAAGTGCTGACCATTTTTCGACATGGCATCCTCTGGTTTCCTGCCGCAGCCTCCTCCTCTTTTCGTTCTGCATTCATTTTGCTTTGCACTATTTTCGGATTAAGTCCTGCGCCTGTCATGTTGATTTGTATTTGTCCTCTGGGAGGAGCTGGGCCTGGTGCTGGGGCTGGTGCTGGGGCTGGAGCTGGGGCTGGTTCTGGGATGTGTGTAGGTGCAGGACCAACGTCTGCGGTTTGCAGCTATGTTGGCATTTGGCGTTGGTGTCGGGGACACAAAGTTGAATGATGGCCATTGACTTCACGCAAACGTTTCTCCCTCTCTCTTTCCATCTCTATTCTCATGTTTCTTCTTCCTTGCTCATCATTTGTTCACTTCCTCTCTGCCTCTGCCTCTGCCTCTGCCTTTCTGTCTCTCTGTCTCTCTGTGCGTGCCAGATACAAATATTGTTAATCCCATTGATTTGTGTTAATGATTGCCATTCACACTGTTGACAAAACTGTTTTTCGGTGCACCCTCTGCCCCTGCCTCTGCCTATACATTGATACTTCCATTCGTATTCTGTTCCGTCTGCGGTTGGCTGGTCTTTGGTAAAGTTTTATGAACGCTCACCGCAGCCTGCCTGCCAGCTGAGGTGCCAGCTAAATTCGGTTTTAGGTTTGTTTAAATTTCCCGATACCCAGTGGTGCCACAGCCCCCCGCAGGCCATTCCAAGAACACTGTGAGACTCAATGGAGCCGCTGCAACTTGGCAACTCTCAAGTGGACCAAGTCCAGGATGTGCAGGGCGGGGGACGGTAGCGGCTGGTTGTGTTTGCCAGGGTCCTTGGATTGTATTGATATTTCACGAGAAATCAACACAACATACAAATAGTCAAGCACAGACTTCCTCTATACAGTTATCCAGCTACCCGCACCTTTATCCCTCCTCTCTCTCTCTCTCTCTCTCTCTCTCTCTCTCTCTGGCTCTGGCTCTACTCCACCTTTGAGAGATTTCTAAGTTTGTCACCATTTGCAGCGGAAATGAAAAATCAAATCGAAGAAAGGCACAGGAAATGTAGCTCTTCACTTTTCACTTCAGCTCTCGCCCAGTCCCCCCTCCCCCTCTCTGCAACTCTCTTTCCCTATGTGTGTGTGTGTGTGTTTTTGCTGTTTAAATTTAGCCAATGTCTATAGAGCTGACTGGAGAGGCTCTCCACTGTTTCCCCACTACAAAACTGGGTATCTGTCCTTGCCCCAGCTCTGGTGTCTCCTATATGGCATGGCTTTAGCTGTGTGTGTGTGTGTGTGTGTGTGTGTGTGTGCATACATCTCGATGGTTACCCACTTCTACTTGAAGTTAGTCCCTGTCATAGACATGAAATTGTGTTTTTATTGTTTTCCGCCACGTTGTTTCTGATACTCTTACCTCAATCGATGGGCCAAGACTGAAGATGAAGAATGAATAAATGAATGAATGAATGGACACGATAGCCCTTTGCTGCACTTGGCAGCTCCATTTCAATTGAATGAAACGAAAGAGCACAGAAAAAAAGGGACATTGTTAAGCAAAATGATTATTTATGGGCGAGGCGAGGCGAGCCAAGTCTGTGGTTGAAGGTTTTTAATTTCACAATTGCACTCTAACTTTAGCTCCCACCTGCATTTATCTTTCACTCTGTCGCTGCACTCCCTCAGTTGCTCCTGCAACTGCAGGTCAGAGGGCACATCCCTTTTGCATTGATGGCAGGATGGCAGTCAATGGGCTGGCTTCATGGTATTTTATAGTAATCTGTAGCCAAAGAGCATCACCGCTTCGATGGCTCTAGAGTCAAAGCCATCATCTGCTTGTTTTCTCTGGGCATTTGTCTGCGCTTGAGACATTTTTATCGTCTTGGCCATAAGCCTAAACAAATACAAACAATTTTGTCCCAACAATGGAAAAAGCAAAGGAACAAAAGAGAGCAAAAAAAATAGAGTACGTGGCGGAAACTGTAAAGGCAACAAAGAGTAAGAAAATTCTGAAAAAAGCATGACAAAAAATATATACACAGAAAATCTACAAACAAACAAACAGAGAATCAGAAATCGGAGGTAGACAAGAGGAGAATCACTAGAAATTGGAAAATCAATTGATTTCGGATCAGACAGGCACACAAGAGTGGCAAGAGTACTTGCCACACACAATCCTTGCTGAAAAGACACAAACTGTTGCAGCCTAATTTATTGAAATCATTTACCGCAAATCAGACAATTCCCGTACAAGCTTTTGCAACTAATTAAATGATGAATGAATGCCTCCTCGGGGAAGTTGTAATACTTGCCACAGTGCCTCGTTCGTGTCGTGTCATGTTGTGTCTTGTTCGTGTCGTGTTCGTGCAACTGCAACTAAGACGGCAACTGCACATGCTGAGCCAATTCCCAGGAAGTTTGATTGAACAATGGAATGATTTAATTAATAAATAAATACTCCATGCCCCCACACACACACACACACACCAAGGCTCACAGCTGTGCAGGGGCAGTTCAGTTGCAGCTCAAGTGTGGCAAAACAATTAATTATTGAGCTCAGTATGGTTGTGGCGCAACGGTGCGTATGCGTGCCAACGTGTTGCTACACATTTGAAGCATCCCCTGCAGCACTCGCCCCGTGCCCATACACCAAACCAATCGACAGTCTATTGTCGTTTACAGTTTACTGCTCACAGGCTTTGCAGCTTGCAACTTGCTGTGTTTGCTGTATTTGCTGTATTTGCTGTCTGCTGTTTGATTTCAACTGCAAAATGGACCACAAATCAAACGGACAAAGCTACAAAGTCAATCAGAGAGAGAGAGAGAGAGAGAGAGAGAGAGCGAGAGAAAGAGAGAGATATTTGGCACAGCAAATAGAATCTGGGATGCTGGCTGGCACATTCAGTTGACTCATACCCGGGGATTCATTTACACTGAAAGCTACCCCTCCGGAAGTTCCCCCGGAAACTCCTTTACTATATATATTGATTTATCCACCTGGCGAATCCAATTACCATGTCGCCTCACACAGAGGTTAGTTAATTCTCGGCCAAAGAATTCGGGCATTCAATTGACATTGGAATCTACTCCGTATTTGCCATTTGCCATTGTCCGTGGTGGCAAAATTTCGAATTTATTGCGATTAAAGTGGTTCTCCCTTCGCTAAGACTGTGCGGGGATGGTGTATTCGGATTACAAGGCAAGGCAACTGCTGCTGCTGCAGCTGTGGAGGGAGTCTCTAAGTGAACCGCAAACTAGTTGGCTGAGTACTTCTGGATGCGCGGCAACCGCAACAGCATACAGAAAGTTTCACAATCGAAAATGATAGCCTGAAGCTGGCACAAGAGAGGAGAAAATTCTATGAGTTTCTGCCTCGCATTTGATGGCATTTGCCGTTTTGCCCTTTCGGTGAATTGTTTCATTTTATTGAGCCCCCCGTCTAAGCCATCAAGACCGCAGAAAACCGAACAGCCAGCCACGTCCCACGTCCCTTTCCAATAAGTGTGTGCTCCTTGAGGCGCTTCTAGTACTTCATGAAAATGCAATTAGTGCGCGATTTGAATATGATGGATAGATGCTTCTCAGTGAATTTCCACTGCATTTGCATATAGAAAATATAAGCAGCTTTGCCTCGCTACAAAAGAATTCAATTATAATTATATTACTGAGAGAAAGTTTCTGTTCATCAAGTAATGCGATCAAGATATCTGCTTATGGCAAATTCCAACGAATTTTCCGGGAGAGGAGAGCAGGGAGCAGCAGCTGTGTGGGTTGGGGCAGGGTGGCCCTTGGGTTTATGGTGGGTCGATTAGTCAGATGCATTCGAATAGTCAACGAATCACACTTAACTGGCTCAATCATGCGTGAAATGTGTTCATTTAGCCCCCAGCCAAGTGCTGCATACACACACACGGGGAAGGCTAACATAGACATGGACATAGAATGCATGACGTGAAAAGGTGAATGAAATTAAATTGAAATATAAATACAAAACGCATCAGGCGAGGCGCATAAGCAGGTCAATCAAGCGCGAAATTTGTGAAAAGCGACAGAGAGAGAGAGAGAGAGGGAGAGTGTGAAGCACGGCGAGTCAACTAGAGGAATGTGTAGACATCATTTAGTCTCTCTCTCTCTCCCTCTCTCTCTCTCGCTCCATAAAATGCATGCACAAAAGGGCAACCCAAGAGCCATGAAGCAGCATAGTGAAAGAGGGAGCAAGGAAGGGGGAGACAGACACAGACACACAGCGAAGTCAGAGGGATTGGCGGCGAGTGTTCGAACCGCTAAGGCAGCTGCCAATACACTGAATGTTATTGACTTACTGTCGTGCCATGCAAATTCGAATGCTGGCAAAATACGAGCCAACAAAATTGGCAGAAAAACAAACAATGCAACAAATAAAACTACACACAAACGGAATATAGCCATAAAAATAATGCCAGAGATGAAAACAGAGCCAGAGTCAACATACAAAATGCATTTGCCATGACATCAAAATCAGAAAGAGCCCAAGAGGGATTTGGTTCACATTTACACACACACATATTAAGAGCAGAATATTACAAATATAATTTACATACAGGGCAACACTCAAGTTTTATATTATCAGCAGTTCTTGGTACTAGCAAGTACTCTCCAAGGGCTTGCTTGCATGTGGCTGTACAATAACAACCGAGATTTGATGAATTGTCAGCCCAACGAAACCGGTTTAAGTGCGACTCACACTACATGATCCATCCAACATGTTCGACCATATGACCTCACCCATTGTTCGAGTCAGTGATCGCTGAACAGCGATCCAAGTCAGTTCCAGTGTAGATCTCAGCATGCCTGGCGAAATAGGTAACAGATTGAATGGGGAAACAGTTTCTCTAGACCTTACAAACTGTTTACTTTGTGTGTTCTTTCCCCCCCCCCAACAAGTTTTCCTTCTCTGCCTGATTCCAATGGCCGCGGCAGGCACAACGGCGCCATCGCTGAGTGCCAGTCCGATTGTGTTTGCCCGAAACCTGTTCCGTGCCCTCAACGAGGAGTCGCCCAAGGTCAACATGGTCATCTCACCTGCGGCTGCGCGTAGTGCCTTGACGCTGGTCTTCATGGGAGCCGGCGGGAAGAGCGCGGAAGAGCTGCGCTCCGTGCTGATGCTGGGAGCGGCCGGGAAGAACGAGATTGCCATGCAGCACGCAGAATTCTGGAGCAAGGAGTGCACCTGCTCGGAGAAGGGCGCCGCCCTGCGCCTGGTCACGCGGCTGTATGTGAACGATGATGTACCGCTGCGTCCGGACTTTAACCTCAAAGCGGTGGAGTTCTTCAATGCCCAGGCGGATGCCCTGAACTACTCGGACCCGAATGCGTCCATGCGGCAGGTGAACAAGTGGCTGGAGCTGCAAACCTTTCACACCGTGCGCAATCTCCTCACCCCGGCCACCTTCAACCCAGAGTTGAGTGTGATCCTCGTGAACTCCATATACTTTCGGGCCAAGTGGGCCAAACGCTTCTCCGTGGATCGCACTGCCCCCGAGGACTTCTGGATCAGCGCCACACAGCGCATGGAGCTGGCAATGATGCGACAGATTGGCCAGTTCCGCTATGCACAGTCCAAGAAGCTTCAGTCCGACATTCTCCACCTGCCATTCGAGGACTCTGACATCAGCATGATGCTGATCGTGCCCAAAGAAGTGGATGGACTGCCGGCACTAGAGGAGAAACTGGCACAGCTCGACATGAACGAGGTGGCCAGCAAGGGGCTGCAGCACGAGGTGGAAGTGACCATGCCCCTGTTCAAAATTGAGTGCGACATCGATCTGAAGGTGCCCATGCAGAAGGTAAGACCCACCGCAGCGAGTGGCAGTTCCATCTCTTGACCCCCTTTGACTTGCAGTTGGGCTTAGAGCGGATATTTAAGCCTGGCCAGGCGGATCTGAGTGGTCTGTTTGCCAAGAAGTCGCCCCAACTGATCTCCGAGGCCAGGCACAAGCTCTATCTGCAAGTGACGGAGTCTGGCTGTGAGACGGATCCCGATACACGTAAGTCTGGAGCATTTCCTGCCACTCTTTCTAATGCTCAATCCCCAACTGTAGCTGCTCGTGCTGCTGCCTTTATGCAGAATCCCGAACGCAAGATCTTCAAGGCCGATCGCCCCTTCGTCTTTGCCATTCGCAACAACAGAACCGTCTACTTCGTGGGCCATTTTCTAAAGCCCTAGGTGATGGGCAGTCGCAGGCACTTGCAGGCAACTGGCAATATCCCAATCAACATCAAATTATTGGCAAACAAATGTAAAGAATGCACACAAAATACAACACCCAGCAGCAGGCACAAATATGAACCCAGGTTGTGGCAGGGAGTTGGAATGGGAAGGGGGAAGGGGGAAGGGCGAAGGGCGAAACAAATAGCAAAATGGCTGCTCGGACAGATCACTGAGAAATGTTGCTGATATGAAAAGAGTGGAGTGGGTGCGCCGAAGGGAAAGCCAACAAAGAAAACGGCAGCTGGCAAACTAAATGAAAAGTATCTAGTCACAACGATTTGGTGGGGCATGCCGCACATAAGATACCCTCTACTTGTGCACATATTTCATCCACCAAAACTCTATCGAATATTTAATCAAGCTACAATCAAATTTTCATTTCTTACCAAGCAAAAACTTGCCACAGTTTTCCCTCTTTCTGGATACCATTTCGGGTACATTAACTTCTCTGAAAATATATCTACCTCTACCCCTCACTCCTTTTCCAATCACATTCCTTTACACAAGCGTGGCATTCCCTGACACATTTCGATGCTGCAGAGTATACAAAAAAGCAACAGCAAACGGGAAGGAGCAGTGCAGGGAGGCTTGATGGTGGTTGGGGCCACCATCAGCATTCTTTTGCCCTGGCCAGGCCAGGCCCAGGCCAGCCAACTTGTTAGCCAATTTTAAATACAACTGCTGCCACTGACAGTAATCAAGATTGCACGGCAATGGCTTGGCGTGGCACAGCGCGCGCGTCTACAACAATGCCAAATGGCCAGGCCATTCCACGGCCAGAAAGGGCCCGCCAACAATTGAAAAATAAGTAATTTCACAACTGTAGTGAACTTCATGGCTGCAACAACAGCAGCAGGAGCAACGGGTCCATTGAACAGCAGCTGAGACAAGCAGCAAAACAAGCAGCAAAATCGGAATCGAAGCTGGAGTTGGAGTCGCGCGTCCGGTTGCAAAACTTTTCCGTCCAATTCATCGATGATTGTCCTCCTGGAGCCGCCGCCGCTGCCGCCGCCGCCGCTGATGGTTGATGCCTCTGCTCTGTCCTAGATGTAGCCGCCGTCTGCTATTGATGGCCATTCCCTTTGCCATTTACCGAGTTTTGTGTGGCAAATGTTTATCTTTCGGTTTGTTATGGCCAACCAGGGGACCTGGACTCGCTGCTCTCTTCCGTCATCAGAACGGAACTGGAGATGCACAAATTTTGGTGAAGTTTGGGAGGGCCCTCGTCCCGTCTCTACTGTGTCCCATTCTAATGTAAAATGTCACAATAATCAAATTACTGGAAATTGGCAGCGGGGTGGGGGGTAGGGGCGGTTATCAAATGAATAATTACGAATTTATGTGGAATTTGATATTGGAAATAACTTGACGGGATGAAACCGGCAAACATTTCCATCAAATTAATTGCGTTGCCTGGCATAACTCGGATCCAGTTCGTATCGCAGCGGCAGTGTCCTCGATAAGTCATGGAAAAAGTTTGGCCTCCTTTTTATTCGGCATTTATGAATTCGATTGTGAATATTATGCATGAGCCGGTCTACTGCTGGCCTGCCCGGACTTTGTCCATAATTGCATTTGCAATTGGAACATAACAAATCAAGTGGCAGGGTGGGTGCAGTGGCAGGGGCAGGAGCCCGGCTGATGGCCCTAAAATGTAATTTAAAACCAATCAAACGCATCCACATGCAACAACGAGCCGCAAATGCCGGCGGTCACAAAATGCATTAAGCATCTTCATTGGCCATGAGTTTTGGGACTCGTGTTTTATGGTGCAGCAGCAGCAGCAGCAGCAGCAGCAGCAGCTTATCGGAAAACACACGCACCCCACGCAAACAACTGTTCATAAATTTCATTAGGCAAACAACAATATTACTGTAACTGTAACAATAAGCCCAAAACAAGGGCATCTCCATAGGGATTGGACCACAGGATTCTACGGAACTCGGAATCAATCCGATTATAACACTCAACTGTTTCCATGTGGCTAGATGTAAAAGCCAAGACTGGTGCACAAAATCCAATTTGGAATATCCTAATTATCCGCATATTTGCACTTCTTCACATTATTAGCTTTTGGACTTTGAAAATGAATTACATAAATATATGTAAATACATACATTCCAATACATTACAAACTGAGGGTTTTGCTAATGAGATTTTCATGTATTTAAAGCAGAATTCCGAAGAAAATTGCAGCGCATAGATCCCCGAAGATCTCGTTTATGGCTGGCACTGAATCGGTAATTGGTAATCCAAATGGTATTTTGTGCGGAGGCTGGGGGCAGAGACATCACCTACATAAGATTGTGGCAAAGTTAATCAACTAACTGGCAAGCTAAGCCTGCCCCATGCCAATGCCCCTTGCCCCGCTCTAAAGATAGTCCGTGTACAGGCAAGTGTTATCCTTGGAGGCATCTAACTTATTTATGGTATCCTTGACTTTGACTTACGTGCCTGCCATTCGAATGGGAGTCTTGCTCCTTCCGTATTATATTCAAACGAGGGCCTGGTGTCCTGTCCCTGATCATGTGTGTGTGTGTGTGTGTCGGCAGTGTGCATGTGTTGTTGCTGCCATTTGACTGTATCCTTGGCAGGATGCCTATTACTTTGGCCTGTGCCACATGCTGCAGGAAATTACATTTCAATTTTAAAACGTCTCTCATTGCCAGCTTCCGTTACCGTGCGTCACTCGCGCACTCAGCGCACAGAGGTGTGGCATGCAGCATGCAGCAAGCGGCAAGCGGCGAGATGCAAAACGTGGCAGGTGTGGCAGCTGAGTGAGCGGCAGGCAGCACATAAAATGGCCTGCCATGAGCGGCACTTATCGCTCGACTGCAGCTTAAGCGCCGGTTAATCCATCACAAAAGTGCAGCAACCCTTCGTGCCACTATCTCTCTACCCCTCCATCCCCAGGCCGCCCACACTTTCACCAGCATTCCTGCATCCATCCTCCCATCCATGCAGCATCCAGCATGTGCTTTGGGGCGTGGAAAGTGCTGCCGTTGCTGATAATAAGCCGTCATCCAGGCCAAACTTTTGATAGCCGAAAGCTGCAGAGCTACAGCGTCCAACACGGAAACGGCAAACAGGAACGGCTAAAGGCTTTTTACTGTGGTTACGCATACGCCGCATTGGACTCTGGCTCAACCCCATGGGTTGGTCCATTATGGTGCAGTGGGGCACCAACTGATGCCAACACCATCCATTTCACTAGCAGCAAATTGCAAGTCAACGCCAAGCGTCTTAAGTATGCAAAAATAAATCTGTGAAGGAATAACAAGGGGGACGAAGACTGCCTCGGAGGTCCGTTGTCTGTAGTACAAGTTGGAGTCGTCGTCTGATTCATGGTCGGACAGGTGATTTAAAAGCCATTTGTCAGCTGAAGCAACTGAACTGACTTTCACTGCTGCTGCCTCGAAGCGGGCGAGAGGTTTGGGTGATTGGCTGGGGTCAGTGAAATTATTCAAATTATCCCCGGGAAGATTTTACTGTCAGGTTGCTGAAGGCATGGCACTCTCTGGCAGACGCTGCAACTGAAGCAATGGCAATCATCATGGCAGCATCGCCCCTCTGCCCCCGCAGCAGCAGGCGGCAATCAAATGGCCTTAGTGGCATTCTTTTATCGCCCATTCGCATTCGCATCCGCGTCGTGTGCCGTCCCACAACTTTGCTCCAACTCTGGAAGGAGTTGACAGCCAGCAGCCAGTTCTTATATTTTTGCTGTAGCAGCTCCTGAATGTGCCATCTATTATAAGTGCTTACCACTCGAAGGCGAGCATTGACATTTGGCTAATGGCAAAAATGTCACCAAAACGCAGACAGAAACACAGACAGGGGGCGCTGGCAGCCATAGGCAGGCAAACAGCTGTCAAAGAATGAAGGAGCTGGGGCTGGGAGAGTCTGTACCCCAAAACACAGGGGCGTGGTCCAGCTTAGCGGGAGAGCTCATTCATCCAGTGATTATACGATGAATGTTCCCCAGTAAAAGAAACTAAATCGGAAATGGAATTCCAAATGGCTTCAAAGACTTTCCTGCATAACCTTGAACGAACCCTTTCGGGAGAAAGTTTCTTGTATGCAAAACAAACCATCAATCATTTAATTCAATTAATAATATTTAACCACACGTCTCTCGATTATCTATTAAAATGTATACTTAAAAATGGAAGGCGATTGAGGGTTCAACTATTTATCAAGTCTTATCGGTGAATGGTGAAGGATGGGTATAATTTTGTCTAGATAGTCCCGAACAGCTCACACGTATATTAAGTAATTCATTAAGCAGCGGGGAATCCACGTGTGTGTGTGTGTGGCGCCAATCAAAAGCAATCATAAATCAAATCATTTGATTCATTGATTAAATAACAGACTTGAGCCTGTGTCGTTGTGTATGTGTGTGGCATGTGTCTTAATGCGCGTATTTAATCAACCCCACAACCAAAAGCAAAACCAAACCCAGCCCGAAACTCCACACAAATCCCATTCCGTACCCTCGGCTTATGCCTGCCTGTCCGCCGTTACGCCTGTTCCCATATTGATTAATAACAAAGCCCAGCGTGAGACATGAAACAAAATTTCCAGCCTGAATTTGCTATTGGTGCAGCACGTCCGCCCGCTCCAACCGCTTTGATAATTGGCCATCGCACACACTTAAAGCCGTAGCAAAAATATAGCAACAATTAAAATAGCTTTGGCCCATTGTCTGGTTACACACACGCACACACAAAAGCAATTAACTGTCAGATTTGATAACAATGAAGAATGCACAAGTGCACACACACACACATGGACATGCACATATGTGTGTGTGTATGCGTGCGTCACATGAGTGCAAATTATACACTGCAAAAATCAGAGACAAAAACATTTTAATATGCAAGAAATACATTTTACAATCATTGCACATAATGCCAAGGATCAGATGTATACTTTTATGTACACAATTTTATTAAAAATATATTTGTGTCAGTGTATAGGCCATAATTGAAAAGGACTCGATGGATGACTGACTGAGTGCCAGCCAGACTGGTAAATTA